GCTTTTAGTACTTCTGTAAGTTCATAGTGTGTCTTACATAGTGAGTGGTAGGTTGAGATTCCAGGCTCATTTAACAGATTTTTTATAACACTGAGAAGTTCTACCCATTTTCTAGTACTGAACTGAAGTATTGTACCACTTAATCCTTTCAATGGTGGTTGGGTTGGTCTATATCTGAACTCCACTGCTGAAAGATTCCTGTGGCTTACCAGATATCTTAGATTTGGGTTTTTTTTCAGCTGTGGGTAACAATTATCACTAAATGAATATCCATCAAAAATATCAGCATACACCAAAGATGATTCTGTTGATTTCAGAATGCTCAGTAAAGCCAAATCTTGGAAGAGGAATACACAAAATTGTCTAGTACATGGGAACGTCCTGTAGTTTTAAATTAAAAAGCATAATGTTTTGTTAAATACTAGGAACGAACTTCCCATTGAGATGAAACAATCTATTCAAATCCAAAGTATGAGGCATTTGTCTTCACTGAGTTTTCACTATGTAGGTGTTTTGACATGTTCCACTTCTCACTGAAGCCTTTTTTCTGAAATGAATATGATGTATCTCAGATATAGATAAATTTTTCTAAATCTATATTATACCTATGTATTTTCACATTTACATCAATATACATATACATAGATGCATATTCTCAACATATATTTAGGTCTGGATATTTAAATATTTTACATAGGCAAGTGCATCAATATAGATATATAATACATATCTATATTATATAATTCTATCTAGATCTATATATCTACATAGATCTATATCTATATATCTATATCTATTCTATCTATATAGAAAAATAGATGTCCAGTTGTCATGGTTTGAGATAGCCCCAAAAATCTAAATTCCCTAGTCCTAGCCCCCTTCCACATCTCAACCTAATGTGAGATGGGTTTTCCCAGACAAAACACACCAGACTCCAAATGGGGGAAAGGGAATATATTACAATGACTGTACAAATAAATATTATAACACATTATACACACGATCACAACTATCTCTACCATGACATATGTATTTACAATGATCAGATCTCTTCTCCCCTCCAAATAAAAGTCCAGGAGGGAAAGAATGACAGATCCCTTCCACATTTAGGGCAGCAGCTCCTCTTCTGTCTTCCATTCAGCAGTTGCAACTGGATTGTTGTAGCTGGATCTCTTTTCAATACACACAAGGGGGTCTCCAAGCCCCCTCGGCTCTCTTTCGGTCCAAACGAAGGCCTCACCTGTGGACTGCCAGCAGGGACAAGACTCGCGTCACCACAGCTATATCACAAAATGCAGGGGCATCTTCGTGGAAGTCCCTTCCTCAGGGGATTCAAATTCCTCTTTGAAGAGCTCCTGTGCTCTGTCTCAACTGCCAACGTGGAAGCAGTGGCAAGGGTCACCCCCCTCTGCATTCCTCTCCGTCCCAGTCCAGCTTCCCAGGATGCTTTTGAGCTTCTTAGCTCCTCTCTCTCTCTCCGGTGCTGCATGTCTAAAACTCTTCTCCAAAATAGGAGTCCATGTACTCCTCCTCTCTCTAAGAGGGGTCTCCAAGGGAGTTTGGGGGATCTGGTACAGTTCTTACCCGCAAGAACTCTGTAGCTCTGCTGCCGGCTCTCTCTCTCCGGTGCATGCCGTTTGCTGTTTGGTTTAGTTCTTATCTGTCCTGGCTCTCTGCCACAGTCTCTGGATGCTGCTTCTGCCGCTGCTGTCTCTGCTCACTCACAGTGGCTCAGCTCTCACCTGCAGGCACTTAGCTCAGCTTTATGCTGTTCCAGGTCCCCGCAGGCCCCCGCTGGGGCTGGGGGCCAAAGCCCCCCTGTGGGGCTCTGAGCCCTTTCCTTGTGGCTCTACAACATGGCCACCACTTCTCAACAACCAAACTACAACTCGTCTCTTCCGGTCTAGTTGTGGTATGTTTATATTTTGCAGGAGAACCCATTGGACAAAACTTCAAAACTTCCAGGGGTTTCCACCCCTTGAGGTTTTACCATTTTTCTTAGCCTCTGGGGAAAAACAAGATTCAAACCACTACAACACTATATCCATTTGTGTATATATCTATTACATATCTACTGATATCTACTTTATATAGAGGCCTATATATATATATATGTGTGTGTGTTTTCTTTTTATGTTCACCTATATAGAGCTAAAAATATTATCTATATGTAAATACTTATATAGATAGTTCTCCATGCACAAATATATTTTTTCTCCCATGAAGCTGGTCTTTCCATTAGCAAGATGTCCCATACTCTTATTTTCTGATAACACAGAACCACATGTCGTAAAAAGAGACTGTGTGATAGGCTGTTTGCTGTTGCTGTAAAATGTCTATGCCAGCTGTAGATTATGATTATTCACTGGAGAAAATTTGGTCATTAAAACTGAGATTAATTTGCTCATTAGCATTAAAATTTTCCCTTACAATTCAAGCACTGCTAGCCAGGTACAGTCTCTGGCTTCTTTTCTGTTTTTCAGCAGGCTGATGTCCCCTAGGCTGGTTGCAGGACACAGGCCAGACGTACTGAGAAAGGGTCCCTCCTCAGCTGTTCTCCCCACAGTGAGGACCATAGCCATGGTGAGAATGTAACTGTGAAGCAGTTCTTTCTTGCATGTCACAGCCAGGGATTCGGCCTTAGCCCAGGAATGCTGCTGTGCAGTGAAGATAGAAGGAATGATGCTCAGAGGTGGAACGTGCCTCATCCCAACTGCAGCAAAGGGGCTGAAGCCCCTCCATTGTCAAGAGAGGGAAACACCTTCCACCATATGAGTTACACTTATCACCAGAAGGCAGCCAGCAGTGGGAGATATCTTTGCCCAAATCTGGACTTTCTGTAGTAGGTCCAGTTTCTGCATGTTCTCGGTGTCATTAGTGCTAGAAGCTAAGCTGGGGCTACTGGGACCCTGGCATGAGCTGTGTTGTTCAAAGGAAAGAGTTATGTTGAGGACTGTATACTTCGAGGGGAAAAAACTAGGATAGGAATTTATACACAGTTACATATGTGCCAACTGTGGCTTGGAAAAGCTTATTTTATTCCTATAAAATTCTGTTTCTTCCTTCAGAGAGATGATTGATTTAGCTTGGTTTATACTAGTGATGAAAGCGGTCAAGACCAATCAAAAAATACAACTTTCAATGTTGTGATGCCATATATTGGATTGTTCTGTCACTTACTCAGGAAGACTGTATGCAGATTTTTCAGCATGTAGCTCCCCCAAGTTGTGACATACTGAAGATGCAAGAAAATATTTCCTAATTTCTTTCCTTGGTTAGGGTAATCTCTTCCTCATTCTTAGCCCTTCTGATGGGTTGGGTGTAGCCCTTCTCCTCTTTTCTAGGCCTGACAGAGTGGGCTTTTTCTAGTCTCTTATATTCTTATAGAAGAAAACTGGAAGGATAAAACAATGAAAATCAGTGAGTCACAATCTATAATTTAAACATAATTCACTATGACTCATTCATTAAATGCTTTTGCAGAATTTCATGTGACGAAACAATAACCATAAGCATGTTCATCACTGCCTACTCAATCTTCTCTTTACAGCTGTGTAATTCCGTGATTCAAATGATTTTGGAAAGTCTTAGCAGATATAAATTGTCACAGAACCATTAGAGGCAAAAGAACTCAATGGCTTAAAGCAGCCACAGGGTCATACTTTTTTATGGTTAAGTTCAGCTGACACTAACATCTTTAGTTGTTACACAGACCTCTTTCCACTCCTTAAGCAAGAAGGTGTTGAGAGTAAATGGTAGGATTTGTACTGGCATGGGAAGCCTAATCCAGACTACTATTTCAAGACCTGTCTGGGTGCCTCTAGAAGATAACAGACCTTCGATAGTGTCACTCAGTATTGCAACCATGGTTTTTCTCTTATTCCAGAGTCAGATTTCCTGGTCTCTTTTGTTTGGAAAGAGCTATTTCCTGCTGCATCTCATGAACTTCATCAGTAAGTACCTCACACTGTAGTGGCCTACTAGCCTTTAGCCTTTTGAACTAGTGCGGGTTGATGCTGAGGAAAATAATTTAAAAAATGATAGGTGTCCTTTAAAATAAAGAACTCTCTGGAACAGCAAAAAATCCACCTTTACTACCTTAAATATATGGTTTTAGACAAGTAAGAAAATTCAAATTGGATTAAGAGCAAAAGTTCTGATAACTTGATTTAAATAGTGTGTACTATATAGTGATGAGAGATTGTTTTAGGGCTCAACAACCCAACAGTCAAAGGAGAGCAAATTAAGGGGATCATGCCATAACACAGTGGTTCCACTGACTCCTGATGAAGTCAATAGAATGTGGAATCCTAGAGAGGAAAAAGAAAACTCATTCATTATCTGTAAAATCTATAGCTAAATCTCTTTTTAATAAAAACAGACAAACAAAACCCCAAAACCATAACTCATTAGGCTGCATTATTATGTATTCATTGTTGTCTATGACATTATTTATTCTGCTAATTGTATAATCAGTCATTAACTGGAAATATGTGTTAAACAAAGGAGTCTCAGTAATTTAATATTTAGTCCTTAAAGTTTACTCCTGAACTTAAATATAATATACAACCATCAGAATATAAAATAAACCAGACTAATATTTCATCATCGACTGAAGGGGATCCCAGGAAATTGTCTAATACTCCCACATACCCACTACCAACACTAGTTTATAATTCTCTTTCAATACTTGTGAAGTATCTGTGTGGTATTTAAGAATTTATGGATATTCCACAGCCTCCACAAGGAGTCTGTGCCAGTGCTCCTGTCTTGACTGAAGCATTTCTAATATCTAGTCTGAATATTTTTAACTACTCAGTTTGTCCTACTGTGACCATGAACTGATTGCTTCCTGTCTTTAGATGCATAAAAACATTATAAAAGAGGCTTACGTAAGCTTTGAATTGCATGGGATAATTCATCTAAAAAAGAGAACAATCTTTGATACAGGATCTGCATTGGTCCCTGATCACTCTTCCTGCTTTTCTCCTGTTTTCTAGAGTTGGTCTACACTTTTGAAAATTCCAACTGAGGTCTTACTGTTGCTGAATAAGGCACGTAGGTAAATTTGTGTGTGTTTCTGATGGTGATTCTGATTATGCCCTTTTTGCTTTAGCAAATTTATTTTTACAAAGTTGTTGAAAGAGCAAATGCAAAACAATAATTTGCAAACTTTTCATTACAAATGAAATGTAAAAAATTCTTATTTTTTGTGTGTTTTTTTTAAGAAAACTAAATTGATTATACAGTCTTGTTTATGCTGTCTGTATTGATTCTTCAGTATTGTAGTTCTTTTGCAGTGACCGTGTCACAAGATAGTGTAGGTCATGTATGCTCTCTGCAACTAAAGTCGTCCTGCAAGTACCAGACATCTTGATCATGCAAACTATGTCAGTTGTTGAGAAATTTCATTTCCCTTAAATCTTTTTTCACTTCCTCTAGTTTATTTGGGTTGCTTCCACCTCAGCAGCTTTGCTGTGTCAGATGTGTAGTGTCAAATTACTGCTCAGAGGAAAACCAAAAATTAGTCCTGAAAAAGATGACATTCCTGAAGGAAGCAGAAAACAAGCACAAGGTTTTCTGAGGTGCACTAGGTTAATTGGTGTCTCTGAAAATCAGGCCGTAAGTGGATATTGTTTCAGTTAGAAAATAAATTGGGTTTATGTGACAGTTCTTTTTATATGATTGAATTAACTCTAAGCTTCTTTATGAGCTATTTATATTGATGTGCAAATCTTCCACCAGCAAAAAGAAAATACTTTCTGAGGATGTAATTAATTTGTCTTAATCTATTCTCTCGTTTAAATTGAAACAGAGCATAAGCATCCCACTTGAATAGCTTGTAAGACACCATCTGAACTTATTAATAGTCTTCTGCATGAAATGTCAGCTTTCTTCCTAAATAAAATAAAATCAAATTAATATCTTAATATAGAAATACAAAATATATGTAGTGTGCTTCAATATGATCCTTCAGGCGCAGCTCGCAATAACACGAACAGAAGGTCCCAGCTGTTCTAAGTTCAACCATAAGGCAATGCCTTAATAGTGCAATCAGTTTGTCCTAGATTCCTTCCAGCAGAGTTCAGTATGTGTGCTCTCTGACAAGCACACATAATCCTTTGAGCAGCTCTGTGTTGTGAAGTCCTTTTATAGATTCAAATTTAAATAGATTAAGCTTTTTTTATTTTTTTTGAAACTTCCAAGACTTTAAATGCATAATACCAGCAACTACATCAGAAAATATTAAAATTCTGTTACTCCTGTTATTCCATGAAGTCTGTCTGGACTTGGCTTCATTTTATGCATCTGTAACATACACAGTTGTGTATGTTACACACTTGTGTATGTTACAGTTGTCACACAGCTGTTCCTGGGGAAAAATAAAATCCTGAAGAACTCACTTAAAGAACTACATGAATTAGGGTTTTCTGGTCTGTATAAAGCTTTGAATTTTGCATATTACTCATGTATATTACAACAATTGTATAGGGGTGTCCTCTTTATTTGAGAACAGACTGCTATGTCTTATGTTAATAGATTTTTTAGCTTTTCCTTATCCAGCAATTAGTATTGCTGTTAGTTGATGTTAGTCATCATATAAGCACTGATTGCATACCTCTTGGATTCCTTAAATACCTCATCCTACAGTATTGTATGGCCAGTGAAACTTCAGTCCACCGAACATATTGTTTACAGAGAACACTTCTTTTGTTTCACTTCAAAGTATAATTATTTGGATAGTCCCATTTGAGATTTCAGTGTTGCTTTCTCTTTTCCCAACTCTAGTCAGCATCCTCTTGAATCAAAATTGTGATTGGAGTCACTGTGTTCCTTGAACATCTCAAATTTGGAGTATCTGGTAACTTTTTGCTTCCACTGTTTAACATTGGGGGTGATGGTTTGTCCTAGTTAGGACAGCTGAGATCAGTTCATCATGGTATGGGTGTAACCCAAAACTGTGTATTCTATAGCCTTCCATTTTGGGGCCTCTGGTGGTCTAGTGGTTAGGGTGCAGGACTCTCACCGCTGCGACCTGGGTTCGATTCCCGGCCCCCCGGGCAGATGGAGCTCGTTAGCCCTGTGAGGCAATCCATCTAATAGAAGGTCACTCTAAACAAACCTACGTTCTGAGACCCTCACTGCCACTGTCCGAGTTTCACTCGGCCCCGGCAGATGAACCTCAGGATTAAAGGGTGGGCTCAGTTCAACAAACCTACGTTCTGAGACCCTCACTGCCACTGTCCGAGTTTCACTCGGCCCCGGCAGATGAACCTCAGGTGGGCTCAGTGCAGCGCACGCTGTGTCTCACCTAAAAAAAAAAAAAATCCACTGCGCAGGCTCGAAGGGTTAATGACCTTTCCCAAATCTTCGCTCGCGAAGACTGNCCTCTGCCCATAAGAGCCTGACTCCTCAGGCTATAAACTAGGTGTTAAGAGGCCTGTGAGATAAGAGGATCCTCTTGTCCTCACACCCTTTATGGAAGTCCCCGCTCTGAGCCTTTTATGGAAGTCCCCGCTCTGAGCCTTTTATGGAAGTCCCCGCTCTGAGCCTTTTATGGAAGTCCCCGCTCTGAGGGAAGGATTGACCATTTCTGCCTGAACTGGAGAATATATAAACCTGGAGTGTCAGAACTTTTGCAACCACTCGTGGGACCCAGAAGAAGGCTGCAGTTCATCGCTCTCAACCTCAGCTGGACTACAATCACCGCTTCTGACCAGACTGCAACAACTCTCCCACCAGCAGGTTTTTCCCCTCTCCCTTTACTTTGGACTCAAGCGGGACCCAGGGAACACCACTTTGTTCATGCCCCAGGGTACTGGGTTATACATTTGGGTTTTGTGGGTTAGGACCAATTGTTTGTTTGTATGATTGTGCTTGCTGTGTTATTTTAATAAATTGTTATTCTGACTTGTGGTCTGTCCTTTGAGTTGAGTTCATTTCCCCTGCTGGTTGACTCTTAAACCAGCACATGGTTCTTCCAATTTTTAGCTTGCATAATACTTGCGAACTAAACTAAATATGTATGATATTAGTTCTAGTCTGATTTTTCTTCTGTTTCTCTCCCTTATGCTTTTCAGCAAGAGCTGTTTGTGATAAAACACCATACTTCAGGGTAAAAACACTGAAAACTTCAAAGTCTGTTAGGTTTTTTTACATTTAAGTGCCTACACAGCAAGCAGAATTTAGGGTAAGAACCTGCACCTTTATAATGCACTTCTATGCTCTTAGCCTATGCTTTCCTGTACTAGTGAATCATATGGATTCTTGTTTTCTCTCGTAACTTTAGCTGCCAAAATTTTAAAAGGTAAGTCTTCTCCACTCTACTGCAAAGAGGTCTTCTAGAAATAGAGTAAACCAGAAGTCACTGTGCTGACTGGATTAATATTTTTTAAAGAATATATAATTATGTAAATTAATTCTTGCACAAGTTAAGAATTTTGTATTGATTTTTCCTTCCAGATCTATATAGTTATTGCAAAGAAACTTGTAAGTAAGCTGTGATTTATGGACTAAAAATGCTTTGATCTTTTCCAGAATCTGTAGTAACTCTCCTTTTCCATGAAGGAGTAATTCAACCAATATTTCTGGTATTACAGCCTAAGCCAATGTAACTAACAGTGTCATTAAACTTGCTGTATTTGTCCTGTACCAGGTTCCAATGAAATTATTAAGTTTTTGCATAACAACCTGAAGAACATCTGTTTGCCTGAAGAGAGAGATCTTTAATACTGGATGTAGTCCATGTTCTTTTATATCAAGTAAAGCCCAAATATGTATGAACATGGTAAGCAGAAGAAAAAAAAAACCAAATAAAAATCACATAAACTGTCATAACTCTTGAGAAAAAGAGAAGGTATTCCTAATGGCATAATAAGCAATGGATTTTTAACTTTTCAGGAAGACAGTTTTGCCTAAAAATTTATTCTGATTCAGCTGCAGAACGAAACCTGAAATGATAAATATTCAGTTCTGCCCCACTGTCCTGCTGCTAGTTAACAACTGAAAAACATGAGATATCATAAAATGTTTAAAAATTAAAAGGAAGATGAAGACATCAGACAATCTCAAGACTTGTTGGACAATGTAATTTTGTACTGGAGTAAAAGTAGTGGAAGTAAAGATTTTGATATGAGGTCTCCTTTTATTTCATCTCATCCACAGATTTGTCCTCTAAAGTACATTAGATGAAGAACAAAGACTGAATAGCCATTCATCAGAGGCTCCATATCAATAAAAGTTCAATTGATCTAAAAAATTCAGAAGCCTTCAAAGGTATTTTGTACATTAAGGCTTGTGACCATTTTGGACAGGTATGATTTTTTTTTTTAATTCCCCTGCTTTCCATACAATCATGGGATGAGTGCCTGTTGTTTGTATTGTTTTTAGAACAAAATGTGATTACATGTCTAAGCATTTTCCTAAATATAGAAATTACCTTGCATTTCTGAGAGCTTTCTCTTAATTTTCCTTATTTGTTTGAATGTGTTTAGAATGTTGAGGGTTTTTGTGGTTTTTGTTTTTGTTTCTTGTTGGTTTGTTTTTTTTTCCAAAATAAATTGATCCAGTTTATTTTCTGTATACCAGCTCACAACAATCTGAGCAAACCATCAACCTTATTTTGTGGGGCAGGTATACCCACAGCTTAACAAAATCTGTAATTATTTCTGAGAAATTAATGTGTATGTGACAAGCTACTCTTACAGAAGTATGACACCAGTCCCTGTACCTTATGCTGTAAAAATCAAACTATTAAAGAGCAGCAATCACATGTGCTTCCTCCTGTGGCTGTCACTGCTAACAAAGCTCTCTTCACCAGCCACGTGCAGCCTGTTATCTTTCTCATTAATGCTTGCTGTTTCTGACTCTGCCATATGTTTCTGAAGTGACAGTTTTCTCCATCTGTAAATTGGTAACTATCACAGAAAATAAGCAGTTGATTATCTTTTTACTTGGTACTTTTTCTGTGTTTAGGGGAGTGCAGAATGCAGTTGGTGCATCCCTGACACCATGTGGTGCTCAGAACCACAGGATGATGGTGATGGCAGTGGAACAAAGTCAGTGTGCCTGGAAACTTCACTGCCACTAAAACTCAAGTGAACAGGAAGCTCTGACATCTAAACTAGGGAAAAATACCAAAAAGGACAGGACCCAAAAAAGTAAAGACTTATTCACCTACCTATAGTTTTATATTACAATGCAAAAGTGTGATGCTAACCAATTTTATATTTAGGAAAAAAAGTCAGACAAGGAAGCTATTTCTCTTCCCCTTCTCAGACTGTTTTGATAACATTTAGCTCATGTGATTAGATGATACGGAATCACTTGTGACTATTGGAGAGAGAAGGCTATGGGGGAGCATAACAAAGTTAGATGCCTAGGTGCCTAGGAGGCAGAATGACAGATGAGTCTGTGTATTGTCAGTGCAAGCAAATGCACAGTAAAAGGGATAATTGTAACTGCAAACATACCTTGAGGGGATGTTTTAAATTAACTGTACCTTTAAGGAAAAAGGATCTGTGCAGAAATCCATGAAATTACTTGCCTAAAACATAGTTGTGCACTAGGAAAGTAAAATAATAAAATAAGGATGGAAGAAGGAGAGATAATAAGGATCCCTGTGATCATGTTAACCCTTATAAAATGGAGATTAGAATGAAATATTAAATGAGTATTTTAGCTATAAAACTTTATTATTATCCTTTATATCTGACATTGATTATCCTATTTAGAAAGAGAATATATGTATAGCACAGAAACATGGGTTTTATTTAGGCTTAAATTTACATTTATAGTTTATATGAAGTAAGCAGAACCTTTTATAGCTAAACAATCATCATGTTTAAAATAGACAGATTATACTGATTAGTTAGTGCTTACTTATTTGCAGAGAGAAATGTGGTACATGGGGAATTATAATGAGCGAGGACAGAATAAAGGGAAGTTATAGCAGAGAAAATTGTTCCATTTTTACCCTCTTTCTATAGTGTCACTGGAGAACCTGAATGGATGAGAATTGATGGTTATGTAGCAGGTAATCTTGAGTGCCATCACGTGGCACGTACAAGACAAACAGGGGATCAGACTCAGTTAGCATGATTTATGAAAAGCAGGTTCTGCTTGACCAACCTGATCTCCCTCTATGACAGGGTGACCCCCCTAGCATGTGAGGAAAAGTCTGTGGGTGTTGTTTGCCTGGAGTTCAGTAAAGCCTGTGACACAATTTTCCACAGCATTGTCCTGGACAAAACTGATTCTGAAGATGATGCTAGACTTGATATTCTGCAATGAAAAGAATTTGTGACTACTTTATATTTTTTCAGATTTTACTTTGCTCAAAAAAAGTCTCACAACGGTTAGGAAAATCTTTAAGATAATACTGGAATTTTAATGAATATTCTTGGAGCCACAACTGTCAATGAAATCCAACATTTGAATATCAATTTAATTTTGATCAAGCATTATATCCTAAGACTGCAATCTATTTCATAACTCTGAAGCGCTTATGTCAGCATGATCACTGTCTGCACTAGGCACAATTTCAAATCAATGCTATTCTTTTTTTTTTTCTTGAAAAGGAGAGGCCTTTGTTAATTTTATATCACATTGAAAATAAAATAATCTCCCTATGGAGCTCCATCTATCATAAAAGGAAAATAAAATAGGAAGCCCTTAGAATATGGCATCAATTTCTCTCCTGGCATATTCATAAGGCAAATTGTTACAAGTATGAAAGACAAAAATGCTTGGACTCTGTCCTATACTCAACAAGTATCTAGACAATTTATGCAAATACATCATTTCAATTCAGACTAAAGAGCTCATCTTGAAAGAGTTCAATATAATCAGTGAACTGCCAAATTTTTGTAGGACCTGATTCTGAAATTAGCAAAGTACTGAAGACCTAAAGCTTAGGTAGAGTTCTGGCATTCTCTATAAATTGCAAGGGTTAGCATGCTGGAGTGAAAGAGATGCACTTACTAGTAATAATATTGACATGTTTCTACTCCAAGCCATTTCTGAAGTAAGTTGAACAAAAATGCATGGTATTAAAAGAATTATTTATGTTATTTCCCAAGTCCTAAAACAGAAAATTGATATCCGTATTTGAATTCAACCTGTATTGGAATACTTTGTTAGATTTAGTGAACAAACATAGAGGATTTCTCTTGATGTGGGTTTGGACCCTCCATGAATACTGAGGGAATCCCAATCTGACCCTCAACTTTTGATCAACTAAAGGAAGCATGAACACCTTTGTAAACTCTTTGTTTCAATTTTGTATCAACAGCATGGAACCATAAAAACATAGAGAAGGCCACTCATAATTAGGAGAAGCAATCATTCATCTCAGAACCTTATCTCTGACAGTGGACAAATAAGAATTGCTAGAGAAGAATGAAAGAATAAGAAATTTTTCATTGCTTTGTCTCCTAGCACTGAAATAAAAATATTCCAAGTAAGAGGCTTAGATAGTGTCTGTGTACTTTATAGACTTCTCTTCAACAGTTTCAGCATCCTGCTGCAATGAATTCCTTCATGTTACCTACACTCTGTTAAAAAAACTTCCTTATGCCTTCCAAAGGGAAAAACTGAAAATTGGTAATATATTTATACACTGATAAGGTCCATAGTTTCTCTAATTAAGGGAATCAATCTTGAGATCTGTTGGCAAGGGGGAGGCAGGGAGTGGAGCAAAAGAAAGGGGCAGGAAAGTGCAGCTGTTCCCCCTGGTGATGCTTGTTGTTTTTATTCATCACTCATGTGGAAAGCTGTTCTGCAAGGGAGAGGATGGAAAAAAAGAAGACTTGCTATAGTTACTTTCCATTCTTTTACTGTATAGAGGGCAGATCTCTTATTCTGATCTTATAATATTAAAGGGAAAGAATAAGTCTTGTTTTTGTTAACTGTGCTCAGGGAAAATCCTTTGTTCCTTGTTCTCAGGGAAAATCCTTTTTAGCATTCCATTGTGGATGAAAGCTTGAGCTGTGCCATGTATGTATGTATGTATGCTGGGTGCCTTCAAAGGGTTCCTGTTATGACATCCTAGGTTTCAATAAGCAGCACCTCAGAAGTGCTCAGCCTGAGACATGATAGTGTTGTACATAGCTTGCTGTGACTTGGCTGACCTGTCATGAAGAACAGGGATAGACAGATTACTGTGATACTTGAGGAACAGGGAAGCACTTTTACTATAATGTCAACCTTCATTTCTCTGAACCAGGTGGCAAGTTTGGCCACCTCTAAAACCAATTAATTTAGTCTTATATTAAGACTAAGGGCACAGAGTATAGGACCTTAGGACCTTCATAAGGCTTAACAAAGATAAATGCGAAGTCATATAGTAGGATGGAATAATCCTGAGCAGTAATCCAGGCTGGGCAGTGTCTGCCTGAGCAACAGCTCTGCAGTTCCTGGGGCTCTGGGGTAGAGCAAGCTGCACAGGAGCCACTCTAGGGCTGGCAGCAGCAAGGGACTTCACCATCCAGTGCTTCAGTAGCAAGGGCATAGTCAGGAGAGGGAGGGATGTGATGATCCCCTTCCACCTGGCACTTCTTGGAACACCACCCACAGGTTTGGTCCCCTCCAGCTGAATATATACATGGAACAACTGGAGAGAGTCCAGTGGAGGGCCACTGAGGTGGAACCTAATTCCAATACCTACAAGGTAGTGATAGAGAAGATGGAGATACTCTCTTCACCAGGGTACATGATAACAGGACAAGAGGCAACAGGGAAAATCATGTCTGGATATAAGAAAATTTTTTTCCCTGTGAGAACAATTGAACAGTGAAGCAGACCAAAACAAGAAGTGATGAAATCTGGGAGAATTGAGACCTGGCTCAGCAGAGCTCTTGAAAACCTAAATAAAGTCCTGACTTCAGCAGAAGTTGGAACCAGATGATCTCCAGATGTCCCTTCTGGTCTAGACTTCTGAGATTCTGACAATAGTTAGTTTCTGGTGGCCTTATTTATCTCATTGATATTCTGTAACACAGCCCCTACATGGAAGAAATCAGTGTGCAAATTTTGAACGTTATTTCTGTGTGTGGTCTTGTTTCACTATTGTGAAAATATGTGAGAAAAATTTAGGTTTGAGATGAAGCAATAGGGAGTCAGAATATAAATGTCATTAAGTGAGCCCCAGTGTTTTAAATAGAACTCAGATTATTACCTGCAGTACACAGTGATGTTCAAAGCATGTCTTTGCAAGGGAATTCTGTAGTTGTTTGTATTTTGTATTTTGAAGTGCATTACTTTTGCTTCATCCAAAACATAAAAGTGTAGAACAGGAGTCTGACTGCACATGGCTCATTCTTGGCTACTCTGCTTTACTTCTGTTTATTCTTTACATACTTCCTCTTCATCATCTCTGTGTTGTCTTTGATCATTTACCGACTTCATTATACAGCTCCAAGAAGTCATAAATGATATGGAAAAAAAACCAGAATAAGCACGGTGATTTTGCACAACACAGAGTAAGGAAAAATAATGAAAAAATTAAATAACAGACTTAAACCAAAGTATCAATAAAGGAGAATTATTCACATGCAGTTTTAAAATGGGAAGCTCCTGGATATGGGCTTGTGGAGATCAAAAATGGAAATACTCCTCTATGAAATGTACAAACCCCTTTTTGTGTATGCATGACTATTAAACAAGTAATACATTGCTATAAAAAGTAAAAAAGTTTCTTACACTAATAAAGGTAATTCATTCAAAGTAAAAATACCATGTTGCTTAGGTGATCTGCTAATTGTCTCAAATAATCAATTATTGAAAAGAAAATATTAAATTTTCAGCTGGGAAACAAATCCATGACCTAAAATACTTGCTCAAATATTTTGCTGTGGAATGAGAACAATGACAAAACTAGGCAGGGGGGAGGCAGCAAAGCAAAGTGCACTTTGGCAAAAGTCTCTGATCTGTGTAATTTGCTTCCTTGCATGTTCCAGTGAGTGCTGTGTGGCTGTGAGGCACTATTGCAATAACTGTAATATTTCTTTCCTTGTGAGGCTATCCTGTCCTTTTTATCTCACAATATTCCATGCAGAATTTGGATATAGAGGGCACATGGAAAAATGTGGAGGTACTATCAGGAATTAAATATGTTGGGGTGGGTTCAGGCACTGTGAGAAGTAATGCAACAAAAATTTTAGGTTTGATTTCTGGTTTTGTTGCAATCAAAGGAAGGAACTGAGATAAGGTATGAAACCTGAAGTACAGTCTAGGAGTTGCTTAAGCAAATTTTTGTTTTTGTTCTTTAAAGTGCTCTCGTGAGATATTCCTTGTGGAGGAAAGCAATCAGACTTAGGACTCCTTACACCAGTTTATATAAAGTACAAACAGCTATCTGCAGTGTTAAGCATTCACTAACATAGTTTTAATTTATATTTCTGTCTAAGTTACTTAGTGTACTGTTTGAAAACCAGGGTGGGTTTTGAGTGGTTTGTTTTGTTTGGTTTGGTTTTATTTTGTTTGATTTGGCTTTGTTTCTGTCTTTTAATTAATTCTGTTTATCATCAAGTCTTCAAGTGGACTACAGATGGTTATGCTAATGCTTGCCTTGGTGATTGATTGTTTGATTTATTGCCTAAGCAATACCTTTGTTTGGGTAGAATAGATATGAACTTTGCACTTTATTTTATTTTAGTACATTTATGTACTTTCTGCCATAGCTAGGGACAACTTAAGATTTGTATATAGCAATCTAATTAGGAAGAAGGCGATATAGATCCCCTTCCCTGTGTGCCATTGATTCAAATTCAGTTCACGTGGGTAGTGTTAAATTGCCAACTGTGGAATAAGCAGACACTTTCAATCAGAACAGTTTTAATGAAAAATTTAGCACCACTACTTGGCTCAGCAGACTGAGGCTTGAATTTGAGTTACAGTGAATTTACATTTCCATCAGTGAGTTTGTCCCCTGGTACCAAGATTGCATTACTATTTTATGGTAACACAATTTCCGACTCTTGGGGTATTAATAACCCTGAAATTCACTTTAATGTGAGTATTTTCAGATAAAATTTCATTGCTAAGATGCCTCATGCCTTTGAGCCTGTCACCTGCAAAATGTTTGCTGGATTATTGCTGTAGTTTAGTAAACTGTTACAGTTGAACAGATAAAAAAAAGTCATAATCAAGAAATCACACACTTTTAAGAGGGCTTCTTAGCACTACAGATTACTTGCAGGGCCTTCTAGGTACATTACATGTTTCATATTTATTGCTCATCACCTTAAAAAATGCCAAAAATGGTCTGGCTAGCAAGAGGAGATGCCTTAATTGTGAAGTGCTGTACCCACGTACTGCTCACTTGAATAAATTCATTACCTCATTTGATGTTTTCAGACTTCTTCTCTGTTCACTACTGTTATCCTCACCATTCCAACAGTTGCTGAAAAATTTAGCCTGTTTATTTTTATTTATCCTTTTTCCATGCAAATAGCTATCAGCATGATGTTTGGGGAGGGGGATGTGTCCAACCATTAGCACAAACATACCTACTACATTCTGAGATGTATGGAGTTGGAATTGAGTCTAAATTTGTGCTCTCTGAAAGGTATATGACTTTTGTGTTTGAAAGCATTAGTCAACAGGTTGGATACAATCTGTTCCAACCGTGTGAAAACTGGGCACTGCTAACAAAGACAATCAAGTGTAGCCAATATAAGGACAGGGTATGTTAATCTACCATTGGAGCTTCTCTAGGTGCAGTTTTGGACCTGGAGAAATATTTCCATTTGATTGAGGTGCATGAATAATCTTTTTTTCCCAGGTAGACCTTTCTCTGTGTTTCTCAAGGATTAGGCTGAATTCTTCAGGTATCCCAACCTGATACCATTTGCTCTCAATTTTTGGTTAAGCATTCTTTCCAACATCTTGCCTCTCCAGGAAAATCCTTATGTTCTTCTCAGGCTGTCTTCATCACTTACATTTAACCTACTCTGACATACAGCCTTGTCAAGTAGCCAGAGTGCTGTCTCCAAGACTGTTCTATGTATTATATTTTTTCTGAAAACTTTCTTGAGTTCTTGCCTCGTCTGATTTGAAGGACTGATCCTTCTGTTTCAGTTTATTGACTATTGTAAAAATTGATTCCATGGATTCCTGAAAACAATTTTTTTCCTCCTAATGCCCAAATAAATTCTCCTGTTCTTTTTTGAATTATCCTAAGGCTTTTCAATAACTACCATGGCTATGAGTATTAAATGATCTGCTCTACAGATCATTTAATATAATATATTTAACTTAATATAATGTGTTAATAGCATTATTAGGTACAGTGCAGGAATTCCTGCACTATTTCAATCCATTGGCTGTATCTGGGGCAAGACCATAAAGCTGAGGTCTTTTTAAGTTGGG